TCAAGAGGGTTTTTCAGCACAAATCATCATCAAACCCTAGAAAATGGCGAAAAGATAAAAGATACTAGGGTCACCAAGAAGCGAAGAATCGCGCAAAACCCCCCTCCGCTCGCTTCGGCCTCCTCAGCGCCTCCACTCTTCTCTCCTCCTCCTCCAAGGTCAGGTAGTGAGCTTTATTCCTCTTTTTTCTCCTTCACCCCATAATAATGAAAACTCAACTTAAAACAAATCAAAAACGCGTATCATTCACAAAAGAAAAAAAAAGAACATTGAAACAAACCTTGAATCACGAATCCACTGAGCTGGAGGGAAGAGAGGTCTGAGGGTAGCGCTGGTGGCCTCGAAGCGAAGGGAGCACTGAGACAGCAAACGAGAAAGACGAAGATGAGCGAATGCACGAACGCGCCGCTGCCAACCCCAACTTTCGTTCTGAATAACAAAACCCTGAAACCCTAAATTGTTTGCTTCAAACCATGGGCCTAACCCGCTTTTGACATCCCTAAAAGCCCATTTAGATGTTAAACCCTTCTTTTATAAAAAACAAACATTATTCTAATTCTTCTTTAACCAAACATTTTTATTAAATACTAACCTTTTCTTTTTTCTTTATATTACATAAACATTTATTTTTTCCTTTTACAAAATCATTTTAATAGACAAAATATATTTTTTACAATATAGTTAAAACACTTTTTATATATATACTTAATTCCATTAACTTGAAAACATTTTTAATACACATTAAAATACATTTGTACATAACTTAATTAAAATATATTTTTTTTTATCTTATATATTAAAAATTGAAAATATCTTTTCATTCTTTTAATTAAAATGCACTTTGCACATAATAAGTAAATAAACTTTTTTTGTATAAGTTGACTTCTTGAAATATTTTTGTACATAACAATTTAAATACATTTTTCTAATATTAAAATTCGCAAACATTTGATTAAAATATTTTTTTTTGTATATAAACAAATAAAGATACATTTCTTAATTAAAACTTAAACATTTTCTTTTTTGTACATAATTAAAGATAAAAATCACGGATTCATTAAAATACATTTCTCTAGGTCAAACCCTAATACGCTTTAATCTCACCTTTCGCGCCTGTAAATAATTACACATATTCATATACATCTCACACTTACACTTACACAATGCAAATACATTCACATTGCCCTATATACATTTGTTTATCTTATATTTGCATATTCGATATTTACGTTTGATCGCACATTCGATTTGGTTGTAACTTATTGGATACTATAAGTCTCATCCCCTTTTGTACATTTATACCCCCACTCCCGGACACTATTTTGTAATAGCGTAGATTTTACATTCCGCAATTTACAGTTTTTCCAATTATACCATGGTTAGACCTAGGGTTTGTATGTACATAAAATCAAACGCTAGATAACCTAATACAAGACAAATACATGTAATCAATACACAATCACACTTGCACCCCCTAGGATAATCCCACATGTTGCCTTCCAAAATGGGCCATGCTTGTACGTCGAGTATCTTTGGCAAAACAAAATCAAATGATCATAAGTCTCAAAAATGTTGCCTAAACGGAATGATCATAGTCCCTTCAAAACAAATTGCCAAAGACACTTGGCATCATTGCATTCATGGTCCATACAATGACCCACGCTCGTCCCGAATAAACTTCCTAAACGCAAGATTGTCTACCAATTTCAATGGTAGAACAAAATTGTTAAAAGGGGTTAAAACATGACAAAAAACCTTTGAGTACAATAGGGTAGACAAAACTCTTAGTTACTTGAGATCAAACTTGCAAAAACACTTGCTTTCTTTTCAAAAACCACAATCCACAACACTTTCAAACAAACTCTCAAAAAAACATTTGAAAACATCTTTTCGAAAAGATCCACACTTTTGTAAAACACTCAATCACGAGTCAAATACATTAGTTGCCTAAGACAAGGCATCTTTTTCCAAAACATTTTCAAAAAGCACCCACACACACACCATTTTTAAAGCAATCGAAAAACAAGGCAAGTGATCTAAAAAACCAAGTAACTAAGAGCCCATGGATAACCATGGATGAAAAGGGTGCTAATACCTTCCCTTTTCATAATCTACCCCCCGAACCCACGAAATATCTCAAAAGGTTTTTGCTGTGCTTTTTTTAACCTTTCCTTTAGGATAAAATAAAAAGTCGGTGGCGACTCTTGCTCAACCGCACAAGTGCGAATACGAACGCAAAACACTAGTCAGTTCTCCCACCGTATCACACCAGGCTTAGGAGGAAGTTGAGGTATCCCTAGCACAAGAGGCACCTGAGGGGTTTGAAGGAGGTCCGTCAGACTTGTCATTGTTGCCTCTTTACCCAAAACATACTTCCAGACATGTCAGGGATGGTGAGGTAAAATTTAATTGAATTCATTCTTTGTGAATCACGTTTGTTATAATATTAAAAGTTTTTGGCGATGATTTATTTTTCTACAGAAATGTGATGCTCTTAAGTTCATCAACCATGGCCGGAAGATTACTGAGCTGCAACAGCCTAATAAGTCATGGTTTTAGGATGTTTTACGGCTATCTAGGATGAGAGACTTGTGCAAGATCGGTTATGTTACGGTTAACCATAGTATGTTGTCTATGTTTGTAGAGAGATGATACATGAAGACATCATCGTTTCATCTTCCAGATGGTAAAATGCTCATCACACTGGACAAGTCCCATGCCTGATGCATCTTTCGATTAGGGGGAAATTTAGATCACGGGAGGATTAACTGAGATGGCACACTAGAGATAATGGTAGACTATCTAGGAGTTGACCTAGAGAATGCCATGCAGGAGTTAGAAGTCACTCAAGGTTGTCATGCTAGGTTTCAATTTCTAGAGATGGTGTATGCACAGAAGCTGCTTAGAGTAGAGCAGGTTGCAGGTGATGACGAACAGGTTGTGCAGCATAGAGCATACGCTATGAGAGCATACCTATTGTATTTGGTTATCACTGATATTTTTGTGGACAAGAGTGCTATTTATGTTGATGTCATCTACTTATGATACTTCACTGACTTCGAGCAGATCCATGAGTACAAATAGGGGCAACTTGTTTGGTTTACTTTTACTCCAAGTTATTTGAAGGCTATATGTGAAAAACCAAATAGGTGACATGTGACATACATCATAACACTATTGACGATAAAATTTCTTGGTTTTATAGTTTTTATGTGTCATTTTCATAGTGCTCTTGTAACGCCATTAGTAATGATTAATTTATTCCATTTTTAGACTTGGATCCTCCAATACTTCCCACGCATATCTGACTATTCATGTGTACTGACCTACATTGACGATATGCCACATGCTTCTGCATTCGCCCCGCACATGAGGGAACCAGGCAACGAAGTCATACCAAGTGTATCATGATTGTTTGGTAGTAGAGGATATACACTTCCATACGCACGTCAATCATCGTGAGACACACCCCTTGGACGACATAGTCTTATACTCGGGATGGTTAACTTGCGGTTCACGTTTGACATATTCTCATCTGCCTGAGCGTGTCATGCGACAATTCAACTACATACAATTTATTCCCAGAGACCCTTATGTGCATGTTCCTCCTGCAATGACACGTAGAGATATGAATGTCATGTTTGGTGATTATCTTAATCATATGATACCGGAGGATGGACGAAGTACCATAGCTCCTAGCAAGTGGAGCTATGTCGGAGGTTACATCGGATGGTTCTTTAGGATGTCACATTTGTATATGATACAAATGCTTTAAGAGATCCACCTAGGTCAGCTCATCAGGGTATACTAGAGGAAGGGCAAACTATGGAAATTCATGTTGTTGATGTGTTGCCTAGATGTCGGTGTATCATTGAGAAAGGGTAGACATGTATCGATAAAAGACTCTTTTTGGATGACTCTGAGGTAAGAGACGTTCTAGATGCCATGATGGCAGGGGCACTGCAATATAGGAGGCTACGTAGGAACATGGGTCCCAAGTCCATAATATGCAGTAGTTTATAGTATTTGTACTCTGGATTTATATATATATATATATATGTGTGTGTATATGTGAGTGTGTGATTTTCTTCATATCAGTTGTGTGATTTATACAAAAATAAAATAAAAATGATAGCATAATTATAATTTATTGAGTAATTCATCAAAGTTTCTCTAAATCAAAATAAAAAATAACTTTTGCAAGATATACATGTTGTATGAAGAAAAGAGTACGTCTGAAGATCTGTCTTCATAATTTAAGAGACAATTTAGATTTTTCATATGTTGATTTTCCACCACTTAAAGTGGAATTCAAAATTCCCAAATTTTTCACAAATATAAAACACATTCAAGGACTAGAAAAAATACAGGAGCAAAATGATTAAATAAAAGGACACTTGAAAATGTGTTTGTGATTTCAATACATTTAAAGAGTATGATGACATGTTTAATTTAACTTTGTATTTTTCAAAACACATCTGCTATATTAATAAATTAATATACTTTAAAAAAAAAATATTTATGTAGGGATAAACAAAATCTCTAGAAAGATCTTATAATTGGAGATGACTAGATACAGATGGATTGAAAGTTGCTAAGAAACGAAAATTTTCATGATGAGACTACTAGTTCATAATCTTTCAGTTCCTTGATGAAATTCCAGATGAAAGTAAAATTTAAGGTTGAGTGAGTATAATCTGCCATTGTTAGAAATTTCTTGATTTGTTTTGTGAAAACATTGACTCAAAGGTGCCGTTAGTTTTGTGTTTGTGCTTTGGATACAACTATGACTAACACAAAGCTAATCTGATACTTACATCACATGCATCTACTATGAAGCATAACTACAACAAGTACCATTCTTGTTATGATGAAGAATAAAAGCAGAATGGGAAGGCTAAATTATCTAGTTATTTGACATTAAAGCAAATCTTCACTGCACATTGCTTTGTAATAACACCATTTTACGTGCACCTGTAACCATATATATATACTAGTACCTATGGGTCTTGCTTTGGCTTCTGGCTCAATTCGGCGTAATGACCACCCATTAGTTGCAAAATCTCCTCCCACATACCTTGAGAAGAATCAGTGATAGCCTGATAGAGCAAAGTTGAGCTACATGCAGCAACATACCAATACTCAGACTCAATCTCATCTCTCAACTGATCTATTTGCCATCCAGCATAACCAATAAAGAAAGTGAAATCATAAGGCTTGATAATCCCTTTCTTGACAAGCGTTGATGCATGATCCAAAGTGTTTCGAGCTCCAAAATATAGTCCAGGGACAACCTCTTGAAATCCTGGAAGGTTCAACTTGTCCGGTGATTTTAGCAAAAACATGCTTGCCTCAAGAGGTCCACCAAAATGCAAAGAACAGTCAGAAAAGGAGGTTGTTGAATCCTGATTTGTAGGTCTTATGTTTTTAATCTTTTTGTGAAGAGGACGGTTGATGACAATTCCAAAAGGGCCTTCTTGTGAGTGTCTAGTTCCAGATCTGAGAAGGAGAACAACAGTTCTTTCAAATGTGCGAACACCATCAAGCTTTTCGGTAGCCACGAGTACACAGCCAGTCTCAGGTCCAGGAATAGGATGAGCCCACTTTGTTCCAAGAGGATTAGAATCACCTTGTATTTCTTTCTGTTAATGAGAGTCAGTTATTTTAAATATGATTGTCTCAAAACAATAATATGGTTTAGCAATGAATTGATGATTACCAGCTCATCTCTATATAGTTTAGCTCTAAAGTCACGCCAATCCAAATTAATCTGATGACGCTTGTTATTAGATTTATCACCATCATTATTGCCTGCTATAAAATGGATCTCATCAGTCAAACCCTAAAAAGGTTTAGCAAGATTCATCTAGTTGACCCTAAAATGCCAAGAAAGAGAAAGAGAGAGATACCAGAAGATGAAGAAGAGTTGCCGTGATTCTTGTTGTTGGCGGAAGCACTGAGAAGAAAAGGGCGAGAGTGTTGTTTACTGGAAACTGTAATCTCGTAAAATGAATTACGACACCTTGTATCGGAAATGGCTCTGTTTGCGGGGAAAAGGTTCTTCACACACAGATCCATTACCTTTCAATTTGATTGCTAAGATTGCTACAACCAAAAACTAAATACTCAATTGGAAGTAAAAGAACAAGATTACCAAGAAGACAAACTACCAAAAGGATCAAACAGAATATGCTTATTTTATAACTCCATTCTACATTAGCCCCACTTTCACTAAACAATCACTCATCCACCTCCACTTACCTCGCTTCACGCCGACTTAACTTAACCTCCGTTTATTTTCACTCCAAATTATCTAATATTATATATTTCTATATTCATATTAAAACTTAAACAACAATAAAATAATTCCAAATTTCAAATTTTCAAAATTAATAATAAAATTCAAATGCCTCTAAAGGTGTTTCTCCTTTTTCTCTTAATTTGAAATGTCTTTTATAGGCGGGTCTCATCCCAATTTTCAAAATCGGGATGTATGGGCGAAACACTTAGGTGTTTGTTATTCTTCTTTTCAGAAAGTTGATTTTATTCGTTTATTTGTCCCTTCCTGTTTTAGCTATGCAACTTCAATAGTCTCGTTGTTTCACGTTTTTTATAGTAGTTAGATCCAGGTTTAGGGGACCTCGAACGTACATGCTTCTTGGGAGTATCTGTATGGATTATATCCTAGTTGTACATACCGGAATGTTATATACAAATCAATAAGATAGAACTATAGTTACTCTATAGTTGCACACATAGGCAATTTGGTTGAACTGTGTGAACATAGCTTTTGTGTGTTTCTCTTTACTCTAAGTTATATTTGTGTACATGTTCCAACAATTGGTATCAGATGACGCTTAATATTGAAGGTGCAAAATTTGAAGAGGCCCAATTTGACGAAACGAGTAATTCCAGTTTATGGCAAATGAGGGTTAATGATCTATTGACTCAACATGGTTTACAAAAGACGTTTTGTGATGAGAAATCGACATACATCATAACCATTGGTTGGAACGAGATAAAGGAGAAGGCTGCAAGTTTGATGAGACTTTGTGTTTCTGATGACGTAATTAATCATATCATGTACCTCACAACTCTGAAGGATGTTTGGGATAAATTGAAAAATCAGTACACGTTCAAGATGCCCGTGAATAAATTGTTCGCGAAGCAGCGCCTTTATAGCTTGAATATGATGGGAGGAAGTGATTTGCATACTCATGTAAACACTTCTGACAACATCCTAGCTGATTTAACATGGCTTGGTGTGAAGGTTGATGATGAGGATAAAACCATTATTTTATTGTGTTTTTTATCAAGCTCTTATGATCACTTGGTCACCACTCTTACACACAAATGAAACAATCATGCTAGATCTTATTTCTTCCACCCTTTTGTAACATGCACAATATCGCCAAAGTGTAGAGGAAGGTGAAGGAAGTCCATGTGAAGGTTTATTTGTGAAGGGCAACACAAAATATTTTAAGTTATGTCATTTTGATTTTGTCTATTTAGGTGATGATAAAACTTGTACCATCACTAGAAAGGGGGAAATAAAAATTGGTTTGGATGATGTTGGCGTGTGCATGTTGAGTGGGTTTATTATGCTCCGTAATTGAGAAAGAATTTGATTTGTCTGGATACTCTTCAACTGAATGGTTATTCATTATGGTCATAAGGAGATAGAGACATCACGAGGGATAACAATGGTCCAATGATAATAATGAGGGCAAAGAGGGTTGGATGCAACACTTATAAGTTGTTAGGGAGCACAATTATGGGTGATGTAACATCTGTTGAAATTGATAATGATGCAACTAAATTGTGGCACATGCACTTGGGTCATCTCAGTGAATGTGGGATGATGGAAATGCATAAGAGGAATATGCTAAAGGGTGTTCGCAATTGCGCAATTGGATTGTGCAAGTATTATATTCTTGGGAAACAATGTAGAGTTCGTTTTAAAATAATAACACAAAACCAAGGGAATATTAGGTTGTGTTCATTCTGATGTATTGGGCCTACAAAAGAGCCCCCCTGTTGGAGGTTGCACGTACTTTGTGATATTCACTAATGATTTTTCTTGTAAGGTCTGGGTTTATTTTATGAAATTTAAATATGAGGTCTTCGCCAAGTTCAAATTATGAAAGGTAGAGGTTGAGAAAAAAACCGGGAGGAAAATAAAGAATTTATAGTAATGATAATGGAACTGAATACATTGGCAAAAAGTTCATGCATTCTTGTGAGGAGGATGAAATCCATAGGCATAATTTTTTGAGGAAGACAACACAACAAAATGGTGTTGTAGGGAGGATGAACAAGACTCTGACGGAGAAGGCAAGTTGCCATCAGTTGAATGTTGGTCTTTCAAAAGGTTTTTGGGAAACAACACTTAATATGGCATGCTATCTAGTCAACAGATTATCACATGATTCATTGGATGACAATGTTGTAGAGGAGATGTGGACAAGTAACGCTATTGATATGAGTAATTTGAGGATTTTTTTTGTGTTCAGCATATGTGCATATTTCCAGTGAGAATCGGTCTAAACTTGACCCCAAGTCAAAGCAGTGTACCTTTATTGGCTACAATAAAGGTGTGAAGGGGTACAAGTTATGGGATATGGTTAAGAGGAAGGTGGTTATCGTCATAGATGTTATATTTGATGAGTAGTCGATGTTTAAGCAGTCAGATGTGACAATTATTCTGGATACTGAGGTAGAACATCCCAGTCAGGATAAGATTCATGTGGGTATTAAGGATCCACCAATGAGTCTAAGGCAGATTGTAGTCCAATAATAGGATGAACCAGACTCAGATTCAGGTGGAGTGCAAGATTCAGGTGGAGTACACAACTATACACTTGTGTGTGATATGGATCCCCATTATATTACACCTCCATTGAGATACGGGTTTGACGACTTTGCAACATATGATCTTCTTACTAGTTCACGAGACCCTTCTAATTTTCGAGAGGTTATGGCTAGCCAGGAGAATGATAAGTTGATTGGTGCTATGGAGGAGGATATAAAGTCCTTGAAAAAGAATAAGACATGGGATCATGTTCAATTGTCACAGAGAAAGAGAGTTATTCGTTGCAAGTCAATGTATAAGAAAAAGTCAATAGTAACAAAAAAAGAAAGGGAAAATTTCAAGGCTCGCCTACTTGTAAAGGGCTATTCAAAGCATAAAGGGATTGATTATAATAAGATTTTAAGTTAGCTGGTTAGACACACTTCTATCAGGGCAATATTGGCCCTGGTAGCCAATATGGATATTGTGATACGGTGGCAGAACCGACTATTATACTGGTTTTGCATTTTGTATTCGCAAATATTGTGGTAAGCAAGAGTCACCACCGTCTTTTCTTTTATCCAACAAAGAAAAGAGTGAAAAGAACATAAAAAGACCTTTTCGAGAGTTTTCTGAGTAAGGGGGGTTGATTATGGAAAAGGAAGGTGTTAGCACCCTTTCCATCTGTGGTTTTCCACGGAATCTTAGGTACTTGCTCATTTTGAAAATTATTCTCGTGTTTGTTTATTTTGAAAAGTTTGCTTGCTTTATGATAACTCTTGTATCGGTACTCAAGAGTGTTGATAAAGCGTTTTTGAAAAGAGTTTTGAAAGTGTGGTGTAAAAAAGATTATTTTGAGCAAGTACTTAATAACTATCTACTTACTCGAAAAAGGCGTTTTTTTCCTCCTTTCATTTGGATAGTGCTATCCTACTATTAGTGAGTAGGTAGCCCTATCGTTGGATGTTGAAGGACTATCAAAGGGACGTTTACGGTCACTAAGGCAACTGGGCAAGAACTCTTAGTAATTGTCCCAAAGTTCTAAGATCACTTTTTAATCGAGGCGGCATCGAAAAGGTCATCGAGGGACTTGTGATCTTTCAAACTAAAGAAAAGCCACTAAAGATTCTCACGTTTCGAGAATTGAGACCATTTCCGAAGGCAACCAAAGTGGGAGATACCCTAGGCGTGAGCATGTCCAAGTGTATTGATTCAGTTCATTTATCTTGCACATTTAGGGTTATCTAACCGTTTTAATTTCAATCTTTTTCATACAATCCTATTAATCTAAGCAGTTAATAATAGTGCGAGAAATTAAAAAGGTAGAAATTAAACCTAGCTATTACATGGCCTCGGGGATGGGGGGGGGTACATAATCAAACTTGGGAGTGCGGAAATTAAAAGCAGTAAATAAACCCAAAGTTCAACTATTACAAACTGTGTACAGATACAATCAATTTGTAAAGAATAATAAGCGCGCGAAGAGTGAAAGGGGCGTCTAAAACCCTAAAAATGTTTAAAAGAAAATCTCTTTTTTGTCGTTTTTTATTTTATGAAAATGTTAAATTATAATAATATCCTAATTAACCAAATTAAAAAAAGGTAAGAATTATCAATTATAATTAATTCTAATGAAACTAATATTTTTGGTATTTTTAAAGAAAAAAAGATTTAAAATTTAATCATAATTTCTAGTTAATTTTAATTTAAAGAAAAATATTAAAGTAATTAAACTAGAATAATTTATAAAATTAATTTTAATTATAAAAAAAAAAACCTAATTCTATTTTTTGTGATTTTATTAATTTTAGAATTTAAATAAAAAATTGATTTTTAAAACAATTAAAATAAAATAAAGAAATTGAAAAATAACAAAAAAAAAAAAAAGAAGAGATAATGGGCCTGATAATGAAAGCAGCCTGGGGGTGTGAAACTGAATCTGCTAGGCCCAAATGAAACCAGCCCAATGTCTTGCGTGAGATCTAGTGGAGAATGTGTTTGAGGGCCCACCATGGGGATTCATTGTTGGACGCTGGATCTGAATTGTGGGTGATCCAATTATTGAGAGTGAGGATGTATGGTGGACGTCTAGCCACTGAGAACACCAAATCTGCATGAACATTGTTAGAAAAATCAAAATTTGCTGGACCTGGGATCGAACCCAAGTCCCTTTCCTCATATGCTTACGCCTTTGCTATCTGAGCCACTTGTTAATTCATGTATATGATAACAAAAAAATAATATAATATAAAAACAGGTTTATGGCTGAGTCAGCAAGACACGCGCA